CGTACCTGCGGGTAACATGTACGGCCCCGTAAAAGTTTTTCGGGTAAAATCAGTATCTCGGGAATCACAGAAGGCAGAAGGCTCAAATTTTGTGGGCATGTCCCCCGCCTATGTGGTACCCAAAAAATTTAAATTCAGCTTTCCCCTGTCCGCGGGTAACAAGTACGGTTCCGTGAAAATTTTTGACGGGTAAATTATTATTTCGAGAACCACAGGGTCCAGGAAGTTGAAATTTTAGGGTAATGGCCCCCTGCCCACGCTCAACCTTGCCTATTCAAAACCAACGTTCTCGCGCTCTCCATATCACCTACGGGCTAGGAAAGTTTTTACGGGTAAATTATTATCTCGGGAACCACAAAGTCTAAGAAGCCGAAATTTTAGGATTGCGACCCCTTGCCCACGAACGATCTTTTAAATACACATTCAGCGTTCCCGCGCTCTCGAGTATCACCTGCGGCCTCGTGAAAATTTTGGCGGGTAAACTATTAACTCAGGAATCATGGAAAGGTATTCACCCTTCAGGGTTTCGAATTCAGCTTTCATGCGCAGGTGCGTGAAATTTCTAAATATTTTCGAATGTTTGAACTATTTTTGCATAGACAAAAGTACAATTAGCAGTGAAAATCATTAATAGGCAATCGTTCGATGGGCAGAATTGCACAAAACGCATGGTCGCACTGGCTAGTCTGGCGCGCGTTGCTATTCTTTTTCATCCCTTCCCCCTCTCCCCTTCTCAGCCTCTTCCTGGTGTGATATTTGAGCAGCACTATGACTGATAATGTGCACTAGCCCAAATATCATAAGCAGAGGACAGCACGGAACTACGATAATTAAAACATCGAAGTGTTGCTGTAACAGTTGCTAGCTGCATAGTTGTAGAATTTGATTATGAATTAGCAGCTGTCGAGTGCTACTGGTGTGCCAGCCACCCTGCGCATACGGCGTGCTGTCGGGGATATTGCTAACATATGGCCACTCGGTCGCGTAATAACAAAAAATTTGTTTTTGGAGCACATCTCTGCTGACAGAATGAAGAGAATAGTGGAGCTGTAGTAAGCTGGGACCGAACATGTAGCTTAGAAAAGTTAGACTTCAGAAGCAGTTATTACGGGTTTTCCGGATTGAGGAGGTATGGAGAGTAT